TCCCCTTGTACACATTGACGTGCACGTAAATGATCCAATGGCTGTTGGAATTCGATATAAGAGTATAAGGTCGTAGCGCCGCTGTCCTCATTAACCCATGCTGTCGGAGCATAACAGTATAGTCCAACAGAACTATGGCTAAACATGGAAATTGTATACAAAGTTTTTTTATGACTGATTTTAGAAGTCTAGAGTGTCCTCTTTTAGAATCTGCCACGTTAACCTCCGTCACCCTTGAATGTTTTGAGAAATTCGAGATGTAGTCTAAGGCGGCCGCCATTTCAAATAATCCCCAATAACTCCCATAGTATTTAGTCTAGAATGATAATTTTGGGTGTTTAAACGTATGTTTTGGGGGTCAAGGAATACACTGTAAGCGTTCATTATGTTGTGGGGTGATTAGCTGATAGTAAAATCAAACATGCCAGATGGACCTTCAACTCGTTAGCGGCAGTTGGGGGCGATTATTCCACCGAACCAAACTTTATCTAGAGACAAACTATATATTTCTGGACATAGGAGCGTATAAGTGATACAATAACACCACATACATCACTATCAGGGGCTCCAGGGCCACATTGGTCGATCCTGAAAAGGGGGCACAAGCTATTTGTTAAACATTTAAAAAAACAAATTCTACCCGCAAAACACGAACATAACCTCCACAAACTAGGTAATATCCAGTTTAATCCTTTAGTCGTGTTTCTGGCTGCAAACCGTGACAGCACAAGCGCAAAATACTGTATATTCTAAGCCATCCCGCAGGCGCGGATCCGGGGGGGGGGGGGCTATGTTTTGCCCTATATATTCTCGCGGGAAAGGAGAACAAAAATACTTAAAAATGGTAGTGAACCCCGTCATAAGTCGGCGGTCCTTGTGTTCTGTCATGTCCTTGTGTCATTATGCGCCATTTTATACCTACAAAGCATCTTCAGCTTCTGAAATCTGTTTTGTTGATCCCCGTCCTCTGATCAGCTGAGTTATACTACCCTCCACCCCTGCCTGACTGGTTCAACAATGGAATCGTCTCCGTCATAGAGGGTATTGGTCACGGATGAACGAAATCATATATAAACTAGAACTGCGAAGCAGTAATGGCGGGTTTCACCAGTGCCACGTTACCCTAAACATATGTCACTTCTGGTACCAATGAAATCAATAAACAAGTTTTCACACAAGCATTGCACACATCAAATAAAATGGACGCCGAATCAACCAAATCCAGCAATATCAATTCATTTTATACACTTTTTACATGTAAGTGTACAGTACTTCCGGTGATAATGAAAATGTTCAATTAATTTTATGAAATCAGAAATGGCATAAGGCATCACATGGTGAAACTTATGTAAATCGAATAATAATTGCCACTTTTATAGACCAAAAACCTTGAAAAGTGACCTGTAGAAAACCGTCTATTTCTCTGCAACCGTACAAGTTAGAAACCATTTTGTGATATGTATATGATCCTATGGGTTCATTCTATTAGTTGATTGGAATCAACTAAATGTTAAATTGGTTTGACCTAGTCACAATTGACATTACGCATCAAATGGTATCACTTTTATGATAATCCAATAATAATTGAGTCTTTTACGGGCAAAATATTGTAAAAAGTGACACTTGCAGAATTGACCATTTCTCGGCAACTGCTCATATTACAAACTAATTTTGAGATAGATTCTCTTCGTATGAATTAATGCTACAAGTTTATGAAAGTCACAAAGAAATATTTTAAAATATGAAACGCCTGAATGGGTTGTAAATAGCTCAATTTTACACCGTTATTCACCTTTAAATCGAAATGGCGCAAAAATGAAATCGAAATTAAAAAAACTGCTTCCGACTTTTTTTGCGCCTTTACATGGCGCAACTTCTTACTTTTTACTTATTTTAAAAAAATAATATTTGCTTTCGAAAAGACGTACCTAACCGCCAAAATTGTAGTTTTGGTCAATATTACGTCATTTCCGCTGCTGACAGAAAGCTTTATCAGTAATAAAAAAGTTGAGACTTTGCATCATTGAGCATATGAACTTTGTTTTATACAAATCAAGCAATAAATAATTAACCCAGAACCCATAAACTGAATTAGCCAATAGCGGCCAAGGTGAATTATCGATACAAAAATTTTTCATATTTTTTCTCAAATCACATGACCCTTTAATTATAGGTAAAGCGCCATAAAAAAATATTCATAAATAAAAAAGTTTTTAGTCAAAATTTAAATTTTCAAAATTTGGCGCCTAATATCTTCGAAGATTAATCGGAAATCAAAAATCTAAACAATCTTAGCTACGCAGTGTGAAACCCTAATAATCATATCTTGTTTAAAGGCTCAATTCCACACTCGTTGTAACTGAATAATATGTCCCAATCTTTATTCTGGTCAACAAATTGTACTATTTGACAATATTCCAATTAATTGATGATACAAATTTCATTTTAACACACCTAATTTAAAAAATTGGAAAAATTCAACTAAATGATTTGAAAAGCCTGACGTAGAGCTTTTCAAATGTGACTTGGATTTTAAAATATTTTTGAACCCTCTGGACAAGTAAAATAGGATTTAAGGGATAATTTACACAACAGGCGGGACACTAACACATCTAGTGCTTAGAATAAGGCTATTTTTTATTTTCTGGAACTGTCAAGCCAGCAAAAGTGTTATTGTCCCTTTAAACACTTCACTCATTAAAGATGGAGGGAATTTCATTGAAATTTGCTTAAAAAACGGTGACAACGCACGGTCCATTCGATTATGACAGAGAAACGATCCCAGTCGACGTTACTGGACCTGTTTTCTCGGAAGAAAGGTAGGCTAACATAAACAATATGTCCAGATTTGAAAGATTTGAAAGTTTTCATTAGGCAAATAGTGGGCGATCATGTATGCTACGCCCAGAATGTCACTGATCAACGGCTCGCAAATATGTACAAGGTTTGCGCAAATACGCCCAGAAGACACCATTCTCTGCTTCCTGTCAAAAATGGCATCGCGCCAGAGATCATCCCGCATGATCTCTGACGTGGTGCCATTTTTTTTTAGGGAATTCGGCATCAATGAACACCCTTCAGATGGTAGGTAGGTACCGAAACTCATGTTGCTAAACGAATGAACAGTCAGTTTAGGTTGGAAATCGTAATTTACTCCGAAACGAGCCGGTTGGTGAATTGGTTGATTGCCCGTCAGTCCGCCCACCGAGGACCGGGCTTCGCACTCCCAAGTGGGGCAGCACGCCTCCGCCCTTTTCTGAAAATCCTGGATCCGCCCCTGATCCCTAGTGCAGCTACAAACACGGTACTACATGAACTATCACTCTTGCAGCCACATCTCATGAGCCACATGACAGATTCCGGAGCAAGTTGACCGGTTGTAATGTTTTCAATTTAGTGTCGTTCTCCCATTAATACAGTTCCGAATCAAGTTCCGGCAGATTACGATCTTCCGGTGAGCGCCACACATTAATAGCTTTGTGATGACATATTTTTACGTTCCCTACAAATGCATCATTCGGTGGAGCAAGACTACATGGTTTAGGTGGGGATAATGACATTTCCAGTTGTGGATGCCTTTAGCCCCCCCCCCCCACCCCCGGTGGAGTTTGTTTCAGGCATTGATTTGTAAGAGCTCTGTCCATAAAAAGCTTACAGTGGAATCGCCAATCGAGGGAAGAACAACAGTTGACATTGGTCAAACTGCGGAGAAGCACATGTCAATTATCATTGAAATCCTGCCAGCTCGAAAGGAACAGCTTTGAAAGTTGTGAGAGCTTGATTGTATTCTCTCTCACTCGTCGGAGTAGTAGAAACTCCAATAGAAGCAATGCTTACACAGGCCACTCTATATAGGCTATGTCAGCTTGTTATGGACGGAGTTCTAGAAATCTATGTGGAAGATGGTAATCTACCGGAACTTGATCTGGAACTGTATTGCTTGGAGAAGGATACTAAATTGAGAGCATTAAATTGAGTCAGTCATGTGGCTCATCAGATGTGGATGCAAGAGTTACACACATGTAGTACGCTTGCTTGTAGCCGCACTAGGGAAGGTTTAGAATGTACAGTGTTTTGCATTTGTGCTGTCTCAGATTAAGCTCAATATTACTTAGTTTTGTAGGGGTTATTTGCGTGTTTTGCGGTTAGAATTTGATTTTTTAAATGTTCAAAAAACACTTATGGCCCTCATTTTCACGGTCGGCCATGGAACTCCTGGTAGCAAGTATGTGGTTTTATCGTATCACTCATATGCTCCTATATCTAGAAATATACAATTTGTCTCTATAGTTTGTTTTGGTGACATATAATGACTCTCAACGGCCGCTAAAACGTTAAAGGGGCATATTGTCTGGCATACTGGATTTTACTATCATCTAATCACCCCACAACAATGAACACTCTTGAACCCAAGAACATACGGTTAGACACCAAAATTATCAACCTATAAGGGAATATGTGGTGGCAGTCTTGGACGCCATCTTGAATTTCTCAAAACGCTCACAGGTGACCGAGGTTGACCTGGCAGATTCTGAAAGAGGACACCCTAGGCTACTAAAATCAGTCATAAAAAACTTTGTATGCAATTTCCAGGTTCACTCGAAACGTGGGTTTTGCAATCGGACTAGGCCTAGTAGGACGTTAATCGTCCCCAATTTCATTTTTGTATCATTTCTATGCGTGTTCGGTCTATATTCGACGTGTCCTCAAAATAACTGAAAGATTTCTCCAGGAGATTTATAATTGGGTATTTTTCTTTAATTTTCATGAAAGACGGTAAGATCATAAGATGTGTTCTGCTGGAAGAAAAGGGGGAGCAAATATTTTCCTTGTGATACGATATTTTGCATCTCGTTTCCACCAGTTTTCTGTATACGGTCTGGCACCATTGTAAATTGCAGTCAGCAATACACAGCAATCGGGAAATACACTCGGGAATCCACTCCACATCGCAGAGCGAAAATTGTGTGTCTGGTTGATCAAGACAAGGCCGGTTTGTAATCTTGACCGCTTCCGGTTCACCACGAGTTTCTGTTTTGTGTTGAGAAAGGAGAGGTCTACAAAACTTCTATCTCCGGTTTGTCTCATTCTTGCAAGTTTTCTCTAAACAGAAAGTAATTTTTCGACTGTTTATTTGTCAAGATGCCAGAGAAGAAAGCCTTTGCACGTTTACCTGGTAGTGTCATCCCTTCAAACTACAACATTAAACTGAAACCAAATCTGGAAGCATTCACATTTGAAGGCGACGAAACCATAACAGTTGATGTAAGTATTTTGGGCATTAGTACTAGGCCTATTTGGAAATTATATGTTTTTATGAAAATATTTCTAGCTGTAGGCCAAGGCAAGAATCACGGACCCAGTTCTCTGAAAATATCTTCCTTCCTTGTTGGTTATTTCAATTGAAATTCAGTGAATAGTACACTACATTTTCGGAGAATTGAGATTTTGAGAAACTAACAATAACCAAATATTTGTTACACAATGCATCAATGGAGCATGTATGTCATAAACCTTAGTTTTATTTTTTACTATCTAAACACTGCGCAGTTCTCTGAAAATACCTCCCAGATTTTTTCAATTCCAGATTATTTTATAAATTTAATAAAAATAGTAATTTTGTGAAAACTAACAACCAAACATTTGTTACACAATGTGTGGTGCATGTCATATTCCATAGTTACCATATGATAAACACCCCAGTTCCTGAAAATAATTTTGTGATGTGATTCCCCCTTGTCAGTACTGCAGCTAGGACAGAGGGTCTGGCAAGGTACAGGGTATAGCACTGCTGTTCGGCAAAATTTCTTGCATAGCACACTGTATATGGTGTATGCCCATCTTCATTATCCCAGTCGGAGCAGAACAGTACAGTACAGCTGCTGTTGTTTGTATTTTACTTAGAGGAGAGCCGAAAAAAGCTCCTATTAATGGACAAATTGAAAAAATCGCTCTCCTAAAAAGGTCTCCCAGTTTTGAGAAGAGTGATTTAGAAATTAAGGAGAATGGTCTGGTATTAAGGAGAGTAATTAGTTGTATGTATGGGAAATGGTTCTGAAGATCAATAACTGCGTGTAACTAGGGGTCATTCCTGGTTACATATATGATAATAAACATCGTCTGCTAAATAATAGCACTCATAGTTATACGGTCAAGTCATACTTTTGCTATCGTCTGAAACTACTTATAGACCGGAGGCTCAGCGCGGGGGGTGGGTGGGTGGGGTTGGGGTTGTATTGTCCATCAAATGGGCACAAAACCAGACCCAACTTTTCTAGAGTAAAATTTTGCGTAGAATACGATGCCGAGTGGTAATCAGTCCGCCGTCGGGGCGTTTTCGAGATATTCAGGGTCAGAGGTCAAATGAGTTCATTTGCACTGAAAGTGAATGCGCAGTCATTCGTGACCTTTGACCCCGAATATCTCAAAAACGCCCCAACGACGGACTGATTACCACTCGACATCGTATTCTACGCAAAAGGTTGATGTAAGTATTTTGGGCATTTAGTACTAGGCCTATTTGGAAATTATATGTTTTTATGAAAATATTTCTAGCTGTAGGCCTATTTTTGATATTTCATAGGTTCTTTTGAAAATATTGTTATGTACCAAGGCAAGAATCACGGACCCAGTTCTCTGAAAATATCTTCCTTCCTTGTTGGTTATTTCAATTGAAATTCAGTGAATAGTACACTACATTTTCGGAGAATTGAGATTTTGAGAAACTAACAATAACCAAATATTTGTTACACAATGCATCAATGGAGCATGTATGTCATAAACCTTAGTTTTATTTTTTACTATCTAAACACTGCGCAGTTCTCTGAAAATACCTCCCAGATTTTTTCAATTCCAGATTATTTTATAAATTTAATAAAAATAGTAATTTTGTGAAAACTAACAACCAAACATTTGTTACACAATGCACCACACGTGGTGCATGTCATATTCCATAGTTACCATATGATAAACACCCCAGTTCCTGAAAATAATTTTGTGATGTGATTCCCCCTTGTCAGTACTGCAGCTAGGACAGAGGGTCTGGCAAGGTACAGGGTATAGCACTGCTGTTCGGCAAAATTTCTTGCATAGCACACTGTACATGTATATGGTGTATGCCCATCTTCATTATCCCAGTCGGAGCAGAACAGTACAGTACAGCTGTTGTTGTTTGTAATTTAGAGGAGAGCCGAAAAAAGCTCCTATTAATGGACAAATTGAAAAAATCGCTCTCCTAAAAAGGTCTCCCAGTTTTGAGAAGAAGAGTGATTTAGAAATTAAGGAGAATGGTCTGGTATTAAGGAGAGTAATTAGTTGTATGTATGGGAAATGGTTCTGAAGATCAATAACTGCGTGTAACTAGGGGTCATTCCTGGTTACATATATGATAATAAAAATCGTCTGCTAAATAATAGCACTCATAGTTATACGGTCAAGTCATACTTTTGCTATCGTCTGAAACTACTTATAGACCGGAGGCTCAGCGCGGGGGGTGGGTGGGGTTGGGGTTGTATTGTCCATCAAATGGGCACAAAACCAGACCCAACTTTTCTAGTGACCCCGAATATCTCAAAAACGCCCCAACGACGGACTGATTACCACTCGACATCGTATTCTACGCAAAAAAAAAGTTGAGTCTGGTTCAGTGCCCATTTGATGGCCCCCCAGCCCCCCGCGCTGAGCCTCCAGACTATTATGCTATTCCAATAGAAATACTTGTCGACATTTCTAAATATATATAGCTTGTATAAATTGTGTCTAAAAACATAACCCTTATTCAAAATATAACCATAAACGCACGAAAATACCATCAGAATATAATCTATTTCTTCCAGAATTATTCTCATTGGAAATTTTCACGTGCCATCTTTCGTAATATCTTGCGTCTCGCGAGAGTTCTACTTTATCTTTTTGTTAAATTAACCAATGATGCATAGGCGCCATCTATTTTTAGCAACATATTTATCAGAATTTTATTGCCATGTGCGATCACATTATACACTAATCGAATACGAAATGAAATGAAATGGGTTTTAACATCCTACTGTTCTGCTCCTACTGGGCTAATGAAGATGGGCATACACCATAATGTGCTATGAGGGAAATTTTGCCCGGACAGCGGCACTACAGCCTTCTCTTATATCGAATTCCAACTGTCAAGGATTCTTATACATGCATACGAATGTGTACACAGGACCTCAGTTTTTCGCACCATCCGAACAACTAGACAGCTGTCTTTGCCAGGTCCTCCGTCCTGCATCACTGATAAGGGGGAACCACGCCGGAAAATCTGGATGAACTTTCTCGGCCAATGCAGGCTTGTAAGCCAGCGTCTTACCCACTTAGCCATCGTGATCCACTAATCGAATACACCAAATAAATGTTCACAATGACACCATGGTGGCGATCGGAATGTGAGTCTTTCGCACTCTTTTTAAAAAAAACAAAACATATGTCCATGATTTACAAATAAGGAGAGCGATATTCAATTTTAAGGCGAGCGAGAAAAACCCCTTGGTCAACATTCAGGTGCCTCTCGGATGCTCGCAAGCAATCGCGCGCCTAAAAAAACAATGTCTGTCAGTAGGACGTTAAACCCCATTTCATTTCATTTTTCTCTGAAAATATCTCACAGTTTATTTCAATAAATCTTTGGAGAACTGAGATTTTGGGAAACCAACAATGCATCAATTTAAATGGAACATTTATACTAATATTTTTAAAATTATTGAAAAAGCAAAATGAATATATACTCTTCAAAAAAAGTAGGGGATATTCAGAAACAATACAAAACTGCGGAAATGCACTGCTGTTTTTATTAGGTAACCAGTGTATGTTAATAACTGGCCCATTGCCTACACATGAACATAAACAGTTCATATAGGCGACTTATCTGACGGCCCCATTTCACTCGCAAAAAGGGGGTTTGGGGGCCGAATGGTTAGCACATGTGCGCTGTGCTGTATCATACGGTCTGTCATTGAGTCAACTGGCGGGGTTTCGATTCCCCGGTTGTACGTGACAAGGAGTAGGGTCACCTGTCCAACCTCGTGGGTTTTCTCCTGGTCCTTCGGTTTCCTCCCACTGCTAAAGAATTGAACCATATGTTAGTCCCGAAATGACCTAGTTTGTGTTGAATGGAGGTTAAACCCCATTTCTCTCTCTCTCTAACTCGCAAAGAGATGCACCGTCTAAAGTGAAAATGGACGTTTTTGAACTTTGTCTTAATAATGAGTAATTGCTCCACCAATCCTCAGACATTCAGCAATTTGTCGTGGCATGCTCCAAATCAACCGTCCAATCACGATTTGGGGCAATCTGACCCACTCCTCTTGCAGTGCAGTGTTGTCGGTTGACGTTGACGAACACGTCTCCCGATCAAATTAAACGTAACACACTAAAGCAAAGATACGCTAAACAGTAAATCTTATGCAAGAACGATAGGAAAGCAAGCATGGATAGATAAACCAGCATGCAGCAGTTTTCATCAACCCTTCCTTGAAGTGTCAAGTTTGACAATGAACCCTCCCACGTGTATGGCGCTATTGTGTGTCGCATGTGCAGCTCAGTTGTTTTGTTGGTTCGATAAGTTCTTCATCTGTGAACATACTCTCAAAGCATGTCAAGTGTCCATGACTATTTATCATATCACAACCTGCATAGGTATTTCCATTTCAATATCCCTTACTGTTTTTGAAGAGTATAATACCGGTACAATGGGACAAAAACAATTTAATGTAGTAAAGGAGCAATACACAAAATCAAGACATCATTTTAAATACAACTATCTTGGTTTACATTATGTGCAATTTCTTTGACTTTGATTCTATCTGATAGAGAGTGATAAAACTTAGTGTACAGTTGATAGTCAGTTTGATTGCTCGATACTTTTGAAAAAGATAAACCTGCAATTAATTAATATGTGTCATCTATTTATTTCTTCGGGGAACATCAGCCTCACTGTTGGCTTGTTTTTGAATTATATACAGTATATTTAAATTATAGGTGAAATCAGCAACTAATACTATACTGATCAATTCTGTAGAAATTGCTATCCAATCTGCTACATTCCAGGCTCAAGGTAAATCATAATCAATAACTTTTATACACTCCAACAGACTAACAGTCAACAGATAGTATGATCTCATCCTGTGGAAGCCATAAATCTTTCACAGGCTTTAAGGAGCTTTAAAGAGTTCACACAGATATTCTTAATATAATTTTTTTTCCAATTATTTGAAAGTCTATTAGAAACATTTATCCTTGTCCCATGCAACTATCCAAAGCTCTGTGATATTTTTAAGTTTTTAAAATAAATAGTCTATGTACAATACTGTAGTTATTAAAATTACTACACTGTAGACTATTTATTTGTGTCTTGATAAACCTGTCTCCAGGTTGATAAAGGCAACCAAGGAATTACATATCTTGAGTTACATATCCAAATATTGAGATTCTATAAATTTTAGGTAATTTAATGTTCATTTACTGGTGCATGTATGGTAGAAGATGTCAATCCCAAGCCATAATTTACTAGTTTCCTTTCCATTCATGTGTTATCTCAAGAAAGTGACTTCTGACCTCTTTAGTAATTCACTGAGGAATACAGACACAGGATTATGTGATGTTTATGCGGATCACCTGATTTACTAATATCCATGATTAACCAATTTACTGTAGATATATAAAATGTTTTGGGGTCTTGATTATACTGAAAACCACCCATTAAATTGCAAATTGAACAATAAAACTTGAGCTCCAATGTTGTAATTGTTTTTCTCAACATAAATGAAGTACTGGTATTGTGTTATTAAAATGTAATTTTCAATTTCTGTTAAAACATAAAATAATTTCATTTCAAACTAATTAAAGATGGGTTCCCAGAAAAGTATTTATCGGGTGGTTATTTCCAATAAAAGTATGGTAATTTTAGTATATATGGAAAGTAGAGATTTCCAATCTTACTAGAAAAATACTGGATTCCCCAAAAAACACTCATGAAGCGTATACAGGACAAAAATGTAAGGGTTCCCCTAATCAACAGCCCGACGATTAGGAATTTCTGCACGTGTGATGTCAAAGGTCACACGCGAACATTGAGCGCTTGATGTACAAGTTGATAAACTTTATGAAGAGTTAGACGTACAACACTTTCTGAGATTAAAATGACGGAAAAAGACGCGGGTAGTGGACAATCTTAGAATTTAATTAGGATTGATATTTGTAATAAATAGTAAGCGATTAAAGACAACATCGTCTTTTGTATGCAATGAATTCTCCTCTGACTTCTAAAAGAGGTAAGAAACGTGATGTAAACATGGCCTGGTTTGATCGAATTTTTATAGCAGGACATTCCTTCGCAATTACAATGTTTGAGAAGGATTTGAAGCAAAATTATGACAAATTAATTAGTTTGAATATAGTCCATATATACCATTAAATCACCCAGTTTGTACGTGGGAACCCATCTTTAAATGAATTTGTTTTCCAGGATCATCTGATATTTCAACTAGTGAAATAAGTTTTAATGATGCAGATGAAAAGGTTACATTTAAATTTCCTGCACCTTTACCTGTAAGTCATTTTGATTGCTTTCAGATTTTCAACAATTTGAACTAATTCAAACAATTATTCCTAGAGTTACAAAGAGTTTACAGGTTCTTTACATTGAAAGGCAGAATCCTGTTGATTTTGAACAGTTTGTATAAATCACTCCCAGTCCCAGAGTTACTCTTCTTTATTTATAAAACCCAGTTGACACTATGGTCCCCTGACCGTCACGCTGTTTGTAACACAATAACTTCTAAATGAGGTAGAATGTTCATACTTGGTGTAGTTGTTCATTAGGTGAATATCTTTACTGAGTTAATGATGAGCATTGTCTGTGTCATCTCCAATAGAAGGCTTGATCTCGCTTTAACTACGTACATCTTATCAAGGCCTTCACGTAATACCCTGCATATTGCGGTACTAATTTGGATTGGGTACAAGCCCAACTTGTGAGCCTATAAGATTCCTCGATCAGCGCGAATACCAAGTCTCGCGCTTTCAAGCCAAAAAGGTCTACCTGTGATAATCGAGTTGCAAAGTTCAAGGTTCATTCAAAGTCAAGGTTTCCATGGTGGTCCCAATATCACAACCTCTGATTGGACGCTAGAGCTCACATGTCTGTAGATAACATAGCTATAAGTTCGAGAATTGTGAAGTAAACAAGCAACGGCCAGATGTTGTGAAACTCGCAGTCGTTGCTTCAAGAACATGTGTCTGTGTAAGCTAAGCAAATTAGCTAAAAATAGCTCTGCTTCTCACCTGGTGTATAGTTCTATACATCGATACCTTGACTTAGTTCGATATCGAGTGTTTTCTGTTCAGGTTATGCAGAGGGAGTAAACAAGTTACTTTATATGGGGAAGTAATTAAACATGCATTATGCAAGAGCAAAATCTGCTTATTACAAGTCTTTCTTTAGGCCTGAAATGTTATCTAAATTATCAATTAGACATTAATTAACTTATCCAGACCATAATAAACTCTCGATGTCAAGGCTAGCCTTCGATGTTGGCTGGATTAGATTCTTATATGCCGCTAACGGCCGTTGATAATTAAATTAGAAAAAGTGGATAATCGAGACTCTGCTGTTTATATTAATGATTTTAGTAATGATGACCAAGACTATGCAAACATTTCACCCGCTTCTTTCTCGGCTCATAGTGGATCAATTTGACTGAAATTTTCAGCAAATTACCTTTACACTATCTAGTTTTTAACTATTATAGCGAGAACTGCCATCTCTTTATCTTATTTCCCATAATGTATCTTTAATGAGTGACATCTGATTATTTTCGGATTAATGTGGAGAACATCAGTGTCACTCATGGCTTACTTTTAAAAATGTTATATCTTGTTTGTTTTTAGGTGGGAATAGGTGAGCTGAAGATCAAGTTTACTGGAATTCTTAATGATAAGATGAAAGGTTTTTATAGAAGTAAATACACCACACCAGATGGAAAGGAACAGTTTGCTGCAGTCACTCAGTTTGAGGTTGCTGCCATCACTCAATTTTGTGTTAGTCAAAAAAATTAAGAACAGTCTGGCTGAAATACAGCCACTAGCCTGTATAATAACTTGTAAAACTTAGCTTCAAACTTATAGAGGGTTGTGCATTTTGCAGGATTTTCTAAAGTAATAGATTTTGAATCTGGTCTGCTCTCTCCGGAGATGTTGTTTTTTTGTGTTTTAACTCAGCTGAGAAGTGGATTAATCATAACAATTTAGGCCTTGCTGATCTATTTTTTAATTTAAGTTGTTTGTACTGTGTTCATCACTATTATGAATTTTGTCTCCAGGCTACAGATGCACGAAGGGCATTTCCATGTTGGGATGAACCTGCAGTTAAGGCTACATTTGATGTCACTCTTGTTGTACCAAAACAGAAAGTTGCTCTCTCAAATATGGTGAGTTGTTTATTTTGTTTATATTATTCATTCTTCACCAACTGGTATAGAAGATTATTGCTATTTTAGAGAAATGACATTTTTATACCCAAGAGAAAGTATAACCATTCTTAAAAATTTTTGAGCTATATCCCCCGCCTAATGGTATTCTCCTGTATGAATGCTTTAAATACAAAATTTCAATGTAAAATGAATGTAGCTTTCATATAGATTTAAATTCAGTGACGTATATAATATAATATTTTCAGTATGTTGGTGACATAGAACTGGAGTTTTCCATCCAATATAGTTGTGATGTCAGAGACATTTTGACATCTTTATGGTTTACATTCAGCAAAATCCTGCTACTTTTCAGTCCCCTCTTACATTCAGAAAACTATTTAGCAGAAATAAAAATGTTAATTCAAATAGACAAATGTTTCAAGTACATGTACAGTAAATACACTCAAAGCCATTAAAAACACAATGTCTAATTTGTGAAATATTTCTGGTAAATGTTTTCTTGGACTTTACGTTCTTATGGCACACATAGGTGAAACTTGTGATGGGTTTCTTTTTGTGGAGTTCTGGGTTTGAACCCAATATCAGTTCTCGGTAATGAACTTTGTTCGTGCAAACACAACACTTGTCTTTTTTCACGATTTTAAGCAGTCCCATGTCAAACATTTGGCATGTGCATTCCCTGCACTATGGCCCTTTAAATACAGATCAAAATTCCAACATTCATCACTTCTGAAAAATGCCACATCATACACAAGAAAACAGGAACAGAGCTATTGGCATGCTGGATCAGGTTGCTTCACTGGTAGCCGACCATTGCTCGCCTCAAACAACGCTTCCACGCCACTGGAGGAGGTGCCGATCGACTCCGACCTGGAGCGCCACTTGTAACAACCGCTGCTCAAGATCGCCACATCCGACTACAGCATCTGCACAACAGATTCGAGTCAGCTATTGCTACTACCAGGGGAACTGTGGGAACACGGCAACGTCAGATCAGCCCTCAAACAGTCAGAGAGCGTCTGGCTGCTCCTGGGTTACGCTGCCATCGACCTTACTTATGTCAAATCCTTTTGCATCGTCATCGACTTGCCAGGCAGCAATGGGCCGCAAATCAGGGGTATCTGCACAACACACCATGGCGAAATGTCATCTTCTCGGTTGAATCTCGATTCAACCTCAGTTTTCCTGATGGATGTCACTGTATCTACCAACGTCGACATGAACGTTTTGCTCGTAACTGCGTGCTGGAAAGGGATCGTTTCGGGGGAGGTGGCGTTATGGCTTGGGCCGCTATCAAGGCAATCTCAACGCTCAACATGATGTTGGCGCCATCCTTCGTCTGGTGTTGCTGCCATTGCTGGCTCAACATGGCGTCCGTCGACAGATGGTTTTCAAGCATGATAACGCTCAACCCCACACTGCCACGTTGACAAGAGACTTTCTGAACAATCATCATCTCCGTGTTGTGGATTGGCTCGCTATGTCTCCCGACATGAACCCGATCGAACACCTTTGGGATGAACTTGGACGACTGGTTCGAACTCAAGCCGTGCCACCACTAACTGTTGCAGAGTTGGCACAGGCACTCCAAAATCATTGGCAAACAATATACAGCGTGTAGTGAGACATCTGTGCCAGTCCATGCCAAGGCGACTTCAGGCATGTGTAAGAGCTCAGGGTGGACATACCCGATATTGACTTCAGCTGACCCCTGCTTCGTGTCATGGTTTTCTGACGTTTCGGTTTTGTACATTTGTAGTGAATTCTTTCATGAAATTATCCACAGATGCTTGTTATCTCGATTTTGCCAATTGTTATGTACATTTGTTAAAAGTTGTTGCAGTAAATAAACTTTGAATTTTGCATTGCGTTTTTAATGGCTTTGAATGTATAAACCATTTGAGCTTTAGGAGTATATTGGCAGTACCTCATGGCAGTACAAAATATCTGGAAATTTAAAAGTCAGTTCTTAGATATTTTACATTTAATAATTGCTTTCATTCCTGTTTTGGACTTTTCTACTTCTTTGTAGCCTGTTATATCCAGTACTGAATTAGATGGTGATTTAGTAGAGTTAAAATATGGGACCACACCAATTATGTCAACATATCTTCTGGCATTTATCGTTGGTGATTACGATTATGTTGAAGGAAAAGATCAAGATGATGTCATTGTGCGCGTGTACACACCTGTTGGTAAAAAAGAACAAGGGTTATTCGCTCTTGAGGTATGTTTTACTTGAGAATGCATGTTAATACATTATGCAAGAGCTAAATCTGCCTATTGCAGGTCTTTCTTTAGGCCTTAAATGTTAGCTAAATTATTAATTAGACATTAATTAACTTATCCAGACCATAATAAGCTCGCGATGGCATCGCTAGTCAGCAATCTTTACTGGATTTGAATACATTTTATGATGGATGATTTAACGTCAAAATGGATATTCAAGACTTTGTTTTTTATCGTACCGACTTAAGTAATGATGATCGAGACTAGGCCTAAAATGCAATCACTTATGTCGCGTTTCAGAGTGAAGCAATTTGACTGAAATTTTGAACATATTCTCTTTAAAGAGAACTATTTTAGCGTGAACTGTCAGCTCTTTCTCTAATCTCCCATAATGCCCCTTTACTTAACATTTTTATACGCCCATGTCGTCATCCGGTCTGCCTGGACGTCCATTCACATTTTGTTTGTAGATGCTCTACAGGTCACAATTTCTATTAGCTGATTGATTAGCTTGTGTATCCTCTTATCAGTTCAAATATATCACTCTTACCCCACAATCGTGGTTGAGTTTGAATGTCGTGAATATCAGACCGAAAGGTCCTGTCAAAATGGTCGATCCCCATTACGCAATAAGTGGAAAAGCATAGGGTAGCAATTTTGATCTGTTTGAGGGATGAAAAGTGAAATTTAGCCCTAGCAGTTTCCTGGGGAAACATTATTTCTTGAATTTTCCTGACCACAGTAAGTTGCCGGACTTGTAGTGTACATTGGAATCAAGTTGTTCTTAGTTTTAAGGCTTTAAATTAATAATTCAAATACTAATAATAGAAGTATTTTATTGTATTGTCAGGTTGCGATAAAGACGTTACCATTCTATAAAAATTATTTTGGTATTGCTTATCCTCTACCTAAGATGGATCTAATAGCTATTGCAGATTTCTCCGCGGGTGAGTAACAGACACTGTTTAAGATAGTTGTTCCCCTTTACTGTGTGGATTATATTCATTTTATATTAGAGTGCTATACAATATCTTCGATCAATCTTTCAACTTACACGGTTACAAACATACCACCTATTCATAGAACTAGAGTGTCAATTGGGAGGAGTAAATATATATTTATCTAAATGCTTTAAATACGCATTTACATTTAGAAATTAGGGCATTTTGGTTCTACTCAAAGTCCTGTTTTCAATTAACTAGATTAAATTTCAATATACATTTCAAGGTAAAATCTCATGTGAGGATATTTTTTTAATCTTAAGGTGAACTGCATCAAATGTTAATCCAGCTAAATTGACAAATTGTGTGATTATTTTCATTTATGTATTTTTCTGGTTTTATTATATTTTTTATGTTTAATTCTTTGTTTTTAGGAGCCATGGAAAATTGGGGATTAGTTACGTATAGGGAGACTGCGTTATTGGTTGACCCTAACAACACATCATCACATGTACGACAGTGGGTAGCGCTAGTTGTAGGTCATGAACTAGCTCATCAGTGGTTTGGTAACTTGGTAACAATGGTATGTAAATCAGAAGAATATTGAACAGAAATACATAATTACTTCTAGACTCAAAATAATTACTGCATATCAAATATTTCAATTCTGAAATGATAAATATTTATCAACAATGATGAAGTGTTGAAATTGAGAAATTTTAATAGCAAATTTGCCGTTTATAAACCTTATCACAGCCTCTTCGAAGACTGCATTTCAGAATCTATGAAACCTGATTTGTACTTGTCAAAAATGTGTGTCCATTAATTTGCTTGGCATGCAAACGTAAGGCCCCCTAACACATTGACAGTACCCCTGAAGAAAATCTCTCAAATGCTGGTATTTGAACAAATATTTTCTTTCAGTATAATTTTCTTTCAAATGTTTTTTTGTTTTCGAGTAATGTTTTTAATATATTTCTTTGACAGTTACCATCCTAAATACATAACCGTTGATTTAAAAACCAACTACCAGGAAAAGAATACACTACCAAAAACATTGTATCTTTTGGATATTTGCTGGGAAACTTTTTTGACAATCTGCAATTTTAATCGTAGCCACCATTACTTGATTGAATGAATGCTGGTATTATCTAGTGAGATATAGTCAATTAGAATCTATTATTTGGGTTTTCTTGGTCATTACAGGAATGGTGGACTCACTTGTGGTTAAATGAAGGTTTTGCAACATGGATTGAGTATTTGTGTGTTGATCATTGCTTTCCAGAATTTGATATCTGGACACAATTTGTTAATAATGATCTTGGACGTGCCCTTGAACTTGATGCTCTACACACCAGTCATCCTATCGAGGTGAGTCATCAGAAATCTGTTAATGTATTCTCATTATCAATTACATTAAACTCTCCATGTGTTAGATCTTTGATTAAGTCTGATCATGTACAATTTCAAATGATTTTTTTTGTATTCAAAAATGAATTCAATTTGTTCGGTAATTGCTGAGAGAACTAAATAATTCGCTTAAATATAAAAATCTCTGTGAATTATTCTAAACTTGTTGTTTCTTTAATATTTGAAAGTGCGACTGGGCTTTAATTTCACTACACAAAGTCTGAAAACCAGAGTACAACTGAGTCTTGCCCTTTAAACTTATCTTTATGATTTTAGGTGCCAGTTGGCCATCCATCAGAAGTTGATGAAATATTTGATGCTATTTCATACAGTAAGGGAGCATCTGTTATCAGAATGTTGCATAATTATATTGGTGATGAGGTGGGTTATCACATTAAATTTGTCAGTAATTTTCATCATAGTTTAAAGGGTGGATACCCGATACATTGTTTCATTTTATTTGGCTGTCATTCTTTATGTGAAGATAGTATTCTTAAAAGACGAATTGTGAAAATTTGATATCACTGTTGGAAAAAAAAATACAGAAGAATCTGTACGAGCAGCCACTCTTTTGCAGGAACATCCCTACATTGGTGTGGTGGAAATTCTTTGGGTTCATCTCTTTAATAAGTGGCCACTCCTTTTAACACACCCAGTGTTATGTGGATGTGTATTGCTCTCGCCCCCATCCATTCTTGTGAACGCGCTAACACCAAAAGTCATCATCCAATTGTTTTAGAATTGATATATGTTGTTTACATTAGTGAGATGAAGAAGCCTATTTAATTTCAATAATTTCCGTTAATGACTTCTAGTTATATCACTTGTTTCACGTTGTTGCGCCTTGTGAACGCTCTAAAATCAAAAGTTATCTGCTGATCTGTATGAAATTTATATGCGGCATTTAAATTAATAAAAAAAAAAGAATCCTATTGAATTTCAGCAATTTCCATTTATTATGTCTAGAGTTATGGCCCTTGTTTCACTTTTTTTTGTCCCCCGCCTTTCGAAGAAAGCAGGGGACTATTAAAATGGGTTCGTCCGTCTGTCTGTCTGTCCGTCTGTCTGTCCGTCACACTTTTTGGGACACAATAACTCTCTTCCTAATTGAGCTAGAATGTTCAAACTTGGTGTATGTGTTTATTAGGTCAATGCCTTGATGGAGTTCGAAGATGAGCATTTTCCGCTTAGGGTAAGCAGAGATAAGCAATTTGATTGGTTGATGCTTTGGGACACGATAACTCTCTTCCTAATTGGGCTAGAATGTTCAAACTTGGTGTATGTGTTGATTAGGTCAATGCCTTGATGGAGTTCGAAGATGAGCATTTTCCACTTAGGGTAAGCAGAGATAAGCAATTTGATTGGTTGATGCTTTGGGACACGATAACTTTTAATTGAGCTAGAATGTTCAAACTTGGTGTATGTGTTTATTAGGTCAATGCCTTGATGGAGTTCGAAGATGAGCATTTTCCGCTTAGGGTAAGCAGAGATAAGCAATTTGATTGGTTGATACTTTGGGGCACGATAACTCTCTTCCTAATTGAGCTAGAATGTTCAAACTTGGTGTATGTGTTGATTAGGTCAATGCCTTGATGGAGTTCGAAGATGAGCATTTTCCGCTTAGGGTAAGCAGAGATAAGCAATTTGATTGGTTGATGCTTTGGGACACGATAACTTTAGTTCTAATTAAGTGAGATTGATGAAACTTGGTGTATAGTTTCATTACAGTAATACCTTGACTAAGTTTGATAATGAGCATTTTCTGCTCAGGGTAAGCAGAGCGATACGCAATTTGATTGGTCGAGACTTTGGAAAACAATAACTCTCCTACTTTGATTGTTAGACTATAAGTAAAGATATACTGTTTGATTGTTCAATACTTTGTAAAAGATAATTTGTGATAAATTTATATGTGTCCTCTAATTATTTTCCTATTTCGGCGGGGGACATCAGCCTCACTGTTGGCTTGTTATCCTTGTGAACCTGTTAACGCCTAAAGTTACCATTCAATCTTTGTGAAATTAATATGCATTATTTAAATTAGTGAAACGAAGAGGCCTATTGAATTTCAACAATTTCCATTTGTTGCGTTTAAAGTTACTGCTACAGTTATGACCCTTGTTTTACTTTGTAAACCTTGTGAACGTTTGAATGACAAAAGTTATCATCCGATCTGTATGAAATTTATATGCATTTTTCAATTTAGTAAAACGAAAAAGCCTGTCTAATTCCAACAAAGTCTGTAAATTACTTCCAGAGTTAAGACCCTTGTTTGAACCCTCAAACAACAAAAATTGTATTGTCCCCAATTACCTACAAAAGAATAAATATGCGACAACCCTTGTCAACCTGTCGGATGATTTAGCTGCTGTGAGCGTATGTTTTGTTACCTGGCAACCTATCTTTCTGATATTTCAAAACAAAATGAAAACACCCGTTGCTATAATGCATTCTTGATATTTGAAGACCTTTCACACCTCACACTTAAATAAAGCATGTCTCTACACACTAATTGTAATTTGGGTTATATAAAGAGCTATTTAGATGGATTGACTAAATCCTTTGCTATTTGTTTGGAAATTTGTAAAAAATATTGTGATTAGTTATGGTGACATAATTTAAAAAAAACAAAACAAAGCTAAAGAACACACTCCAAATGGAATTCATTCAGTTGTCCCATGCCTCCTTCAGGGAGGATAGTTTTGCATTTCAAACAGCAAGTTATTAAAATATATGCCTGAAAGCAGAAGGGAGCCATGGTGGCTCAGTGAGTAAGATATTAGCTCGCTTACCTGGATGTCCAGTGTTCAATCCTCCTTGTCAGTGATGCAGGACAGAAGGTCTGGCAAGGGAGAGGGTACAGTTGTTCGAATGGAACGAAAAAAAACACGTTAAAAATCCCTTGGCATTTGAAAATCGATGTAAGAGTAGGCCGTAGTCCATGTTGAAAATCCCTTGGCATTTGAAATTCGAAATAAGAGAAGGCCGTAGTACTGCTGTATGGGTGTATGCCTGTCTTCATTAGCCCAGTCGGCGCAGAACAGTATGATGTTAAACCCCATTTCATTTCCAAAGAAGTATTGTCATTATGTTGAGTGTAATAAGAATTGTCTCTTGTTTCAAAATAATCTGTTAAATTTTACAGCATTTCCGTAAAGGCATGAACCTATACTTAACAAAGTTCAAATATAAAAATGCTTTTACCGAAGATTTATGGGCTGCATTAGAAGAATCAAGTAAGAAACCTATAGGTCAGCTAATGTCAACATGGACAAAACAGATGGGATTCCCGGTTTTACAGGTATGTTACAACTTAGTTTCTTTTTAATTTCATTTTTGGGACAGTTCCTGGTTTTTGTTCTTCTTCTCCTTCCTGGGGGGTGACACTCTTCAAAAATAACCTAAGGCTAGAAACGTGACATGCCTAGAGATTAGTCCTGTAGTGTGATCATAGTAAATTCATCCATGGTGTGACCATAATAAATCAGTCCTGTTATGTGATCATAGTAAATTAGTTCTTTATTGTGACCATAATAAATTAGTTCTTTATTGTGACCATAATAAATTAGTGTTCTGTGATGTTCCCATAATAAATTAGTTCTTTACTGTGACCGTAATAAATTAGTCCAGTGATGTGCCCATAATAAAATAGTCCATTCAGTGTGCCCATGAATTATTTTTAATTGTAATCAATTTCATTCCAGGTTGAAGAGAAACAGGATGGTAAAAGTCGTGTTGTTACAATTACACAGAGTAAATTCTGTGCTGATGGCATCATTCCAGAAGGTAGAGAAGTTATTCTTTTTAGCATTGTATCAAGTTAAGCAGTGAAAGCATTGGACCAGTGTATTAGATTATAATTATTAGTAAGAGTGATTTTGATTTAAGAAAATGTTTTCTTATTTTATAGGTGATAATTCCCAGTGGATGGTGCCGATTACTATATGCACAGCCAGTAGTCCAGATAAACCAGTCTCAACGGGTGTATTAGATTCAAAGAATTTAACCCTTACTCTAGAAAATGTCAAAGCCACTGATTGGATCAAGGTACAACTAAAACCATTTCTCTTTAAATCATATATATACATTTAAATACCAATAGCTATATGAAATTTGAATTGGTAACACATTCAATGTGATGCAATACAACCAACATTATTTTGGATTTTGTAAGCAAAAGCAGCTCCATTGTTCTGCACATTGACAACATAAACTTATAAAAGAGAACCTGTTTCAGCAAAATTGGCCCATGTGGTTTTATTGTTTTGCACTATGTATTGAGAAACTAGTTTATGGATTCCAATTCTCTGCAAAGGATAATCTGATAATCACAAGAACATGTAGAAGATGGCCATACAATAACTTGATATTATTGTTATTTCTATCTAGAGGGGGTTAGGTGGCCGAATGATTAGCACTGTGTGCTGTATCATAAGGTTTGTCATTGAGTCAACTGGCGTGGTTTCGATTCCCCGGTTGTACGTGACAAGGAGTAGGGTCACCTGTCCAGCCTCATGGGTTTTCTCCAGGGCCCCCGGTTTCCTCCCTCTGCTAAAGACCCCTACGTGCATGCGAATTATTGAAATAAAATTGAACCATATTTTATTCCCAAAATGACCTTGTTTGTGTCGAGTGAATCTTAAATCCCATTTCTCTCTCTCTTTCTCTCTATTTCTGTCTACCTTAAATGCTTGAAAATTCCTTTGATAATGGTTTTTTTTTTCATGTAGGTAAATTCTGGTACTGTTGGTGTATATCGTGTTCAGTATTCATCTGAGTCATTAGAACGTCTGATACCTGCTATAAAAAATAAATCCTTATCACCTAGTGATCGACTTGGTCTACAGAGTGATCTCTTTGCTTTGGTAAGTTATCTTTCAAAATTAAAATGATACTCTTCTTGACTGTCTTCTATGTTAGATATTATGTTATCTACTCTAAGGTTATTCTTGTATTTGTAGGCGAGAGCAGGAATGGTGTCGTCGGTAGATGTATTAAAAGTAGCTGAAGCTTTTATCAATGAAGATAACTACACTGTGTGGAATGATTTATCATCAAATTTATCATCAGTCGCTCTCATCTTACAGTATACAGAATCATACCCACAATTTCAGTCATTTATCAGAAATCTTTTCCGTCCTATTTCACAGACAGTAGGCTGGGATAAAAAAGATGGCGAAAGTAAGAAAACTTTTTATTGGTTCATTTGTTCAAATATTGTTTTGGACAAAATATCCACAACTGTGGATACAGAGATCGTTGTCTTGCATGCAGTATCTGCAGTGAACTGATAAACTGAGGCAGTATTTCACATTGAAGGAAGTTAAACCGGTCATTTATATTTTTCTAACAATATCTAATGTTTCACAGCTTATTGGATCCATACTCAAATTTACTAAACTTGATCATTTTTTACCTCAAATTTATAGGTGGCATAGTCTTGTTTATGTCTGTCAGTTTTTGCGAAACGGAAGTTCCAAATGTTCCGTCTAACTAAGTTTAGTATTGAAATTCGATTTTTTCGTAGTTATTGCCCCTGACCAGCAAAACTTTAAAGTTAACCGTCATATATTTGTATATTCATTGCTTGGGAGCTGTATGTTTTATGATAAAAGAATATTTAGATGTTGGCATCAATAATATTTTATAGCTTTGTGTATGTTCCAAGCTAATTTGATATTTTTTTTTTTTACGCTTCTTAAGGTCCTTTAATTGCTATGTTACGAGACTTGGTATTAACCAAGCTAGGAAGAAATGGTGATGAATCTGTAATTAAAGAAGCTACTAAAAGATTTGAAGAACATTTTACAGGCTCAAAATTACTAGCTGCCGATCTTAGAAAAAGCGTATGTTGAAATATTGTAACAAATAAAAAGCTTGCTTAGTCTGTTTATTTTCTTATATTATGTTGACCATCTATTTTTAGGCTTAAATCAACAGTGGTGAGATTTTCTTTTTGAACTCATATTCACAAAGATATTTCCTGCAGAGATAAGCAATTTCATTAATTGAGACTTCAAAACACAATATGACAGCTTCTAAATAGGGTACAATGTTAACTTATTGTAGATGTTCATTAGGTGAATATTCTTACTAAATTTGATGATTAGCATTCTCTCCATAAGCTAAACAACTGTCCGTCTGTCTGTTACACCTTTTAGAATACAATAAATTTGCATCTAATTGAGACAGAATAATCAAACTTTGTACAGTTGTTTGTACGGTGAATTTCTTGTGATGTGTATTTTCTGCCTAGGGTAAAGCAGCTATCCGACATTCACAACCTTTGGAAGGTAATGTAGATGTTTGTTATGTGAATGTCTTGTCATATGACACAAAAACATTTTTTTTTTTTTAAGTATGTCTCAGATTGTAGGTATCGATCACCATTTTTACAAAGAGTAATTTTACATGTGAATCTGTAATTTATGATGGTGTTTATTTATATATTTTTAGGTATATATCAGTATTTTATCTGATGGTAATGAAGATGTATTTACTAAAATGTTAGAGGTAAGATTATATTTAATTACTTTACATAATGTAGTGACAGGATTTTAGTGAATTATCAATGGCATATCTTAATCGCTTGTAATACCCTCGTTGATGGTTACGTCAGATCAAGTTCGAAGTAATTCTCAAATACTTTCCAGATAATACAGAGTTCATAAGGTATATGTGAATAACCCGTTTTCGATAAAGAATTCTGAAGACAAAATGATCAATTTCTAATCATTGAGTTGAACAGAATGCACAAAAGTCATGCCAGAAAAGACTTAGAAGCTGCTTCAGTGCTTTCCACAACTTTTAACACTATTCCTTGCAATAATATGGTTTATGAAAGCGGTGGACTGACCCAGAAGGCTGTTACAAACAGACAGCTTTCTTTGTGCTTTTTTCAAATATATACTATTTCAACTGTGAAGAAAATCATTGAATAGTTAGTTATTCATGTAAACATTGTTTTGAAAAAAGATGAAATTTCAAATTCGGTCCATCTGTGCATTGTTTCATATATTTGGACAATTCATATTTATTTTATAGTTATATGATAAAGCTGATATGCAAGAAGAGAAAGTTCGAATTAGTCGGTCACTAGGAACAGTTCGTGATGAAGGATTAATTAGTAAAGTTTTAGATTTCTCTTTATCAGTAAGTATATGATATTTATTTTCAAAAGGGGGATACTGAAGTAAGGCATAAGAATAAAGAATTTGTTTCTTCTTGTATCATAGAGCTAACACAAATAATCAAATGTTAACTGAGGTTATCTGAACTGATATGATCAATTGAGATGGAACCATGATTATATATTCTATACTAGCAGGATACCCTGCCCAGGGCCCAAATTTGCCAGGGGCCCAAACTTGATGGCGTAAAATATTCATGTGGTAATGCTAGTTAATTTGATACCACCTACGTGGGGGTGGAGCACGACGAAGAAGCATTATTCACACGGGGCCTGGGCCCAGACCCAATGCACCCATGCCCGAATTCGATGTCTTTAAACATTCACAGGGTCATGCTGGTTAATTTGGTACCACATATGTGGGGGTGGAGTGTGGCCACGAAGTGTGATGGTTTTATTTATATAGATAGATTAATACTCTAATTGATAATTACAGGATAAGGTGAGATCTCAAGACTCGGTGTTTGTTATTGCTGGTGTAACAGGATCCGTTAAGGGTAGACAACTAGCCTGGAAGTTTGTAAAAGATAACTGGACTAAATTATATGATAGATACAGAGGTGGTTTCTTGTTGGCCAGATTAATCAAGGTTTGTATTTGTTTTGTACTCCTTTCTTACATGTCTCCCACCGTTCCCCCCCCCACCCCCCCAGTTAGTAGGGATAATGCCCAGTTCTTAAATGAAATGAAATGAAATGGGGTTTAACGTCCTACTTCTTAAAAAAAAATTGTCCGTTCGCCAATAACTAGTGTATCACAAGACATGTGAGTAAGTTCTGAACCAATTGAAATAGGTTTACAAGAATAAGGTAAAGACTTGGCCGTTCTCACTATACTAGTTTAAATATACATAATCAAAGATGAATGTAATGTGAATTTTAGTCAAATTACTGTATACGGATCAAAGTTATGAATATTTGAAGTTTTGACAAGAATAGTGTATTCTCGATTGTCATTGCTATGATAATAAACAATGTCTCGATTATTTTGTCATTTAATTATTGAATGATCAAGCTGAATGATAAGCCATCTGATAGCCTAGAGAGTTATGTTCTTTTCATGTGAATAAATGTCTAAATAATAATTTATCTAACATTTGAAGCTAGAAAAAATATCTGCAATAGGCAGATTTAACTCTTACATAATGCATGTTTAAGACACGTTAGTTTCAAAACCCAACATTTTACTGTGTGCCTGTAAAATCACCGATTTTCATTATGTATATTTTATTCAGGCAACAACAGAAGATTTTATCAGTGAAGAATTAGCAAAAGAGATTGAGGTAGGTTGTCTAGATGTTATTTATAGATAGGTTGAGCTCTGAGTTTAATGGGGAGGTATATTGTCGTCAAATGTGTCCATCCATCGTCCATCCACAATTTCTTGTAAACATTCTGGTGTTCCAAATTTACAGGGATACTTCATAAGGAAAGAACTCTACAGAAATTAAAAAATTACTGATCTCAAATTTACATTTGTACTTATGAAATCTTGTGAGTTTGAAGTTGGACAATATTTTAAAACCTGGTGATATGTGCACTACGGTGTACGGAAAAACCCTATAGAATTTCCAGATTTTTGGAAAATATTTTGACTTTTAAAGCTTTTGAAATCGATACAGGACAAAGTTCTTGATGGAATTTGTAGGAACTCTATCAGAAGGATTTAATTTAATGGATTTAAGAGCTAGCACAGACAACTTAGCTGCTGGCGGGCATATTAGTAGGTCCTCAAGTTTGATTTAACAAGGGCAACTGTCACAAGCGTCTACCTACAACCAAAATTCATCATCTATTGTATACATGCATATTAAGTCTCATTAGCAAAGTGGAACAATGACCAACCTTAACCCTTTATTGAAGCTCTGAACCGACAGGGGGAATGTACCATAGATTTTTCTGTGTGAAGAATCTAAATGTATAAATAGACAAAATTGACACAAGATATATTTTTCTCTTTCCAGGAATTCTTCAAAGCTAATCCTGCTCCTGCTGCTGAAAGAGCTATCAAACAATCATGTGAAAATATACGGCTTAATGCTCGTTGGTTGGATAGAGATGGAGACAAGTTAAAAGAATGGTTGAAATCCAAATAAATATTTTGCCTGATTATCATATTCCATATCGACTGCTGATTTGAATAAATCTAAGATTTATGAGTAAAAATTATATGCTTCACAAAAAATTAGCCTTGAATTTCAAAATGAGAAAATAGGGTAGGATTAAAGGCACTTAGTTGAAATTTTTGCCAGCAGGACATCTTTATGCTTGTTACATTCAAATTAGAAAATCTGATCGCGAAATAATCTGTTTGTTTTAAGGAAAATACTACAAATTGAATTTCATAGTTTTAAGTATTCTTTCTTTTTATTTCCTGCGATGCAAATTAAGTGGACATTTTCACAAATAGACAGACATTGAATTGGGTGAAAAATGAAATCAAAGGCCCACCAAGACTTTGATCATAATAATTTAAGCAGGCTTTTCATAGATTGAGTATTAAAATAGTAGTACATATTTTAGATCTTAGCCACTAAAAAGGCTGAATAAATATCCTGGATAATGTTTAATCTTTATGCATAATTCTTTTTGTTTCAGAGACCAGTGCTATATTTTGTGAGAGAGATTTAAATTTCTTTAATATTGTTAGTCAGGACAAAATTTCTAGCTTAGTATTTGGAGTGATAAATTAGTATTTTATATTTAAAAATGACAAGTGTAGTTTGTTGGAAGGGTGTCTATAAAAAGAAAATAATTAAGATTTTTGCAAAAAATGTATAAACTAACGCTTGTGGCACAGAAAGTAACATTCAGACTTCCTAACCGGGTGGTTCTGGTATTGATCCCAGTATTGGCAGAGAAAATTGGGTGTGAATTTCCAGTCAGTGGTGGAGGATAGAGGACCTTGCAAGGAACATTGATCGGATGGTAGTTCTTTTACCATGTTAGTATACACATAAAAGAAGCCTTAGTTGGATTTTGTTTGAAGAATAGGTTGAAATGTTCCTGTGCTAACAACATTTCCTCATCACTCTGCATGGCTTTTGCCCATTTTCATGTCTTTATTAGCCCGTTTGGTGCAGAAAATAGGATTTTAATTTAAACCCTATTTTATTTCATTGCCATGAACTACCCTACTAACACCACTATCTACAATTTGTATTACTGAATATTAAATGATGAAGATTTGTTTCATATTTTGCATCACACTTTGCTAATATAATTTCTAATGCCTCTTTAATATTGGTTCTTAATTAGAACATTTTTCGTGTAGAGATCTCAATATCTGTTTAATCATTTGTTTTTTTGAAAATAGAATTGAAAAATGCACAGTTAACTTTCCAACTGTTTAGAAGCTGCATCATGTTTTAGGTCCGATCATGGTTTATTATTATTATAATAGATCTAATTTCATTATTAGAAATTTTAATGCCATTCCAAATTGTTAGTTATTAGATACTTTATTTAAAGATATATATTCGTAGATAGTTCCGTTTCTAAATATATGTAACCATTGGTTGGAGAACATATCCAAAACTATCCAGAAAGATATTTATTTCCTAAAAACTATATCTTGGGAGAAAACTGCATGAGCAGTTTTTGGACAATCTTCAAAGCGGTCATTTAATACATATTACAGTTTGAACAGGTTGAATGATCTAATAGTGTATTATTAATGCACATGTTAAGATATCAGTAGTTGATGTTCTGTAATAAATAACTTGTTTTATTTATTGAGGGCTTACTGCACAATTTATCTTGTCAAGTTTGATTAAGAAACTACAATGTTTTGTCGGTCATGCAATACCGGTACATATTACTTCCTTTTGGGGTTATTTAATCATTGTATTTTAATGATTATTAAAATTATAAAAAAAACAGTTGTGAAAAGTTCATTTTTGGTACTAATATGTTTAGTTTGTTCCATTTCAAAACATGGCGATTTTCACCACCTCCTTATCGATAACCCAATTAAATACAAATTGGAAAACAGTCGATCTGTCTGCGCTGATGATGAAAAATGAATTATATTCGTATAAGGTTTTAAGTAGTTCTCTTCTCCCACACAACATTTAATTTTGATGTCTGGATACGTCAGCATATCCTTCAGGTAGTAATCTAGACACTAGGTAAGATACCTTGGTGACCTTATTCATATTGTGCATGGACAGAAACCATGTGGGGGGGGGGGTTGATGGCTGAATGGTTAGCGTGCGCGCGCTGTATCATAAAGTCTGTCATTGAGTCAACTGGCGTGGTTTCGAATCCCCGGTTGTACGTGGCAAGGAGTAGGGTCGCCTGTCCAACCTCGTGGGTTTTCTCCGGGTCCTCCGGTTTTCTCCCACTGCTAAAGACCCCTACGCGCAAGCGAATTATTGAAATAAAATTAAACCATGTGTTAGTCCCGAAATGACCTAGTTTGTGTCGAGTGGACGTTAAAACCCCCTCTCTCTCTCTCTCAGAAACCATGTGGTCGTATATTGCTTGTGGACACTCTAGAGGCTAAAGTTAATATCCAATTGACTTTAAATTTATATACAGTGTTTAAGGTCATGAGACGAAGAGGCCTATTGATTTTCACCGATTTCCGATAATTACTGGCAGAGTTATGGCCCTTAATCAATTTGAAAATTTTTTTGGAAGCTCTAGAGGCTAAAGTTAATATGTTTGACTTTAAAGTTATACACAGTGTTTAAGGTCATCAGGCGAAGAAGCCTAATGATTTTCACTGATTTCCGATAATTACAGCAAGAGTTATGGCCCTTGATCACTTTGAAAAATCTTGTGGATACTCTAGAGGCTAAAGTTAATATCCGATTTGACTTTAAATTTATACAGTGTTTAAGGTCATGAGACAAGGAAGCATATTGATTTTCAACGATTTCCGATAATTACTGCCATAGTTTTGGCTCTTGATCACTTTGAAAAATCTTGTGAATGCTTTAAAGACCATAGTTATCATCTGATTGATTTTGTATTTATACACTGTGTTAACGCCTATATATAATCGTTTCGATTGACTTTATATTGATACACAGAGTTTAAGGTCTTGAGACGAACAAATATATTGATTTTCAATGATTTTTGGTAACAGCTAAATCCATGATAGTAAATGTTTTGAATAATAAACGTTAGCATGGGCCAAACAAATTCTAACGGTTTTCTGATAATTACTTAATTTTAGTGTATTATAAATGATTCATTACCGACAAAAGCAAAAATATCCGACAACTCGTGTTGACTGCCTGGACGATTTAGCTGCTGTGGGCGTATGTTTCGTTTCCTGGCAACCTATCTTTCTTTAATAGCTGACTGACTGAAAATGGTATCATATGAAATGAAAGTCAATATTCAGGGGCAATTACAGACATTTTGAAAGGTGGGGTGGGTGCTAACGAGGTTGTTACAGGTCTAGCAAAGTTAGATTTAAAAAAATACACATGAAAAACAATTTCCTTAAAGCAGTAGTTAAATTTTAATTTTCGAAATGATCGGTCCACAGCAGAGCAGTTTTTGAATCATAATTAAAATTCCTGAAACCCGAAAAGCCCCACACTATTCCGACAGTCCAGATTAGTTGCGTAAGTGTATCATAAAGTCTGTCATTGAGTCAACTGGCGTGGTTTCGAATCCCCGGTTGTACGTGGCAAGGAGTAGGGTCGCCTGTCCAACCTCGTGGGTTTTCTCCGGGTCCTCCGGTTTTCTCCCACTGCTAAAGACCCCTACGCGCAAGCGAATTATTGAAATAAAATTAAACCATGTGTTAGTCCCGAAATGACCTAGTTTGTGTCGAGTGGACGTTAAAACCCCCTCTCTCTCTCTCTCAGAAACCATGTGGTCGTATATTGCTTGTGGACACTCTAGAGGCTAAAGTTAATATCCAATTGACTTTAAATTTATATACAGTGTTTAAGGTCATGAGACGAAGAGGCCTATTGATTTTCACCGATTTCCGATAATTACTGGCAGAGTTATGGCCCTTAATCAATTTGAAAATTTTTTTGGAAGCTCTAGAGGCTAAAGTTAATATGTTTGACTTTAAAGTTATACACAGTGTTTAAGGTCATCAGGCGAAGAAGCCTAATGATTTTCACTGATTTCCGATAATTACAGCAAGAGTTATGGCCCTTGATCACTTTGAAAAATCTTGTGGATACTCTAGAGGCTAAAGTTAATATCCGATTTGACTTTAAATTTATACAGTGTTTAAGGTCATGAGACAAGGAAGCATATTGATTTTCAACGATTTCCGATAATTACTGCCATAGTTTTGGCTCTTGATCACTTTGAAAAATCTTGTGAATGCTTTAAAGACCATAGTTATCATCTGATTGATTTTGTATTTATACACTGTGTTTACGCCTATATATAATCGTTTCGATTGACTTTATATTGATACACAGAGTTTAAGGTCTTGAGACGAACAAATATATTGATTTTCAATGATTTTTGGTAACAGCTAAATCCATGATAGTAAATGTTTTGAATAATAAACGTTAGCATGGGCCAAACAAATTCTAACGGTTTTCTGATAATTACTTAATTTTAGTGTATTATAAATGATTCATTACCGACAAAAGCAAAAATATCCGACAACTCGTGTTGACTGCCTGGACGATTTAGCTGCTGTGGGCGTATGTTTCGTTTCCTGGCAACCTATCTTTCTTTAATAGCTGACTGACTGAAAATGGTATCATATGAAATGAAAGTCAATATTCAGGGGCAATTACAGACATTTTGAAAGGTGGGGTGGGTGCTAACGAGGTTGTTACAGGTCTAGCAAAGTTAGATTTAAAAAAATACACATGAAAAACAATTTCCTTAAAGCAGTAGTTAAATTTTAATTTTCGAAATGATCGGTCCACAGCAGAGCAGTTTTTGAATCATAATTAAAATTCCTGAAACCCGAAAAGCCCCACACTATTCCGACAGTCCAGATTAGTTGCGTAAGTGTAGTATTACGAGAACCCTCAATACAAGGATAAACTAGTATAATGTGGCGTTTCTTCTTTTTCTTTTTGGCTACGAAATGGTGTAGCGGTTTGGTAGTGTTGGGAATTCTGCTGCAATCGTTGCTCAGGACCAACACCCTGGTAATTTCTCTGCCACCAGTGATCTATTGGCCGACCACAAGCCGTTCAGTAGAGCCTCTTCAGAGGAGAGGGCGGACTAGCTAAAAAAAGTAGTTCTGCTATGTTCGGCTCTCTCTCTCTTCGAACAAAGGGAACAGAACTATGAAGTTTTATTATGCACTATAACATGTATTCAGGTAAGTTTTAATGGACTGAAAACTCTTTTACGCTAGTTATAAAGAGGCGAAATGTCCCAGTTCTGTGATCTGTCCTGTTTAATAGCTAAAAGCTATACTGTTCTTTAGCTGCATCTGAAGGCTGTGCACCTCAAAGATTTCTCAAGAACTATATGTGTAATAACCAGAGCTTCGCTTCGACCCTGGAGACGGATATTCCAGTGGGAACAACTGACCCAAACTACTAGTGCGGGATAACACGTTCGCCTGGCCGTCTCGACAGGATGGCGTCGATTCTGAGAATTCATTCCCAGTTCATGCAAAATTATAAACTATACGCGCCGTAAGTGAACAAAGTATACATTGTCAACAATATAAATTCAACATTATTTAATTGTTGGACACAGCGTGATTTATGATAAAGTTGACATATAAACGCATATTTCAATTACGTTAAAGGCTCAATACCACTCTTGTAACTGAATAATATGTCCCAATCTTTATTCTGGTCAACAAATTGTACTATTTTACAATATTTCAATTAATTGATGATACAAATTTCATCTTAACACACCTTATTTAAAAATTTTGAAAAATTCAACATAATGATTTGAAACGTCTAACATAAACCTTTTCAAATGAAACTTCGAATTAAAAATATTTTCGAACCCTCTGGACAAGTAAAATAGGATGTAATGGATAATTGACAAAACAGGTAGGACACTTAAACATCTAGTACTTAGATAGAGATATTATTTATTTTCTGGAGCTTTCAAGCCAGCAAGAGTGTTATTGTCCCTTTAAATAAGTCATAGAACATATAAATTATAATTGCATGCTATTCAAATTCAGCTATTTAAGTAAAGGGGTTTCTATTAAATTATAAAATTAAACATAATATATGGCAGATAGCTGAGAAAGACATACTATTCATACAGTTATCAATAATATCCAGTCCCTCACTATATATATCTACAGTGACCTATACCTAAATATAGCTGTTATTAGTCTCGACTGTTTAGGCGTCTACAGGCTATAATGAAATGTTTATGTAAATTATTAATTAGACATTAATTAACTTATCCAGACCATAATCAACCCTCGATGTCATCGCTAGCCTGCGATATTTACTGGATTAGGATCCCATCTGTTAATTAACGCTCATTCCTGATTAAATAAAAAATGGATTATCGGGACTATGTTTTTTTTTATCGTACCGACCTCGGTTCAGAGTGGATTAATTTGACTGTAATTTTCAGCAAATTCCCTTTACATTATCTAGTTTTTAACTAATACAGTGCGAACTGTCGGCTCCTTATCTAATCTCCCATATTGTATCTTTAATTGGTAGAAAACATCAGGATCACCATACAAGGGTCAAGGAAAGGTTAAGTCACCATCTAGGAGGTGAAAAGTCCAACAAAAGTCAAAGTGAAACCAGAAGTAAATAAAATCGAAATTCAAAAATCGGCTCCTTAACAATTGTTGCCATTGGGAGTAGGTTCAATACAAAAAATAAGTTTTCGAAAATCGGAATTAAAATGAAGACTGGATATCGATTTGAATGTTTTTTGTAAAATTGAAATATGGCGGCCAAGCGGTTGAGAATGTTATTGAGAGAGAGAGAGAG